ATTGGGTTTGGCAACACCAGCAATCTTCCTTGTGGCAAAGCCAACTCCTAGAAATTTAAACAGATAGATTAGGCTGTCTTATACACTCATCTGAAGGTGTAATTTGGCTATTTGTTTTATGTCACAGCGATTAGTATTACATTCAGTCGTATATGGGAATATATGGGAATTATAATTTATGACTAACATTAGTGCAAAAAAGCATTACTAATGATTCTGTATGGTGTGAAATGGGAGGAGGCCAATGGTGGCGGGTGACACCATGAGTTACCACACTGGGTGACACCAACCCTAGGGATGCCAGTGGTTCATATTGGATAAGGTTAATAAAGGCACTGATCCCATCTGATCTTGGAAACCAAGCAGGTCAGCCCTGGTTAATACTTGCACAGGAGACTGCCAAAGAATCCCAAGTGCTGTAAGCTACATTTCAGAGGAAGGAACTGGCAAAACCACCTCTGAGTATTCCTTGCTAGGAAAACCCCACAAAATTGATGGCATTGCCTTATGTGGACAGCCAATTTGAAGGCACGTATATACACACACAATTCTCTTTAAGATCAAGGTAACAGTTCATTTTTTAAAAATCCACATTTCAGCAAAGGGTGTTGTTTTTTTAAAAAAAAATTGAAACTACAAATTTTCTCCCTCCTCCCGGCTTCCAGTTAAAAAAAATCCTCTCCCATGACAAACAGTTACCTGTGTGGGGTATTAGAAAATTGATTTCTAAAAAGTGTGTGTGGGGGGGGGATAATGGGGGAGTGGAGACTGATCAGTCTCCAAAGTTTCACAGAGGGCCAATATGATCCTCCAAGATGGCTTTACATTATTTAAGTGCTGGCAGTCATCACATTGTGTAGTAACAAATCCCACCATTGATCTGGCCCAAGGTCTTGTTAATCAGCCATAAAACTCGCTGAATGATCCAACCTATCTCACAGCATTGTTCTCAGGATAAAATGAAAAGGAGAGCCATGGACACCGCCTTGAATTCACTGAAGAAAGGTGAAGGATAAATATATAACTAGTAGCTAAACAAACATCAAGGCCAGCTGTTCTGTTCCTTTCTCATGAAAATGTGCTGCTCTGCTCATGATTTCAAAGCATGGCTGGTAGCAAGGGGGCTATTAACAGTAGTCCCCTACAGTGGAATTCCCTACCCCAAGAGATTGTTCATCTTCCAGTTTCTCTGTATTTAATTAACAATTGAAGGTTTTAAGAGGTACCTTTTGTACTTTGCCTTTGCTGTGGTTCTTTGCTGGTTCTACATGTTATTTTATTGATTGATTATATTTTCTTGCTTCTTTATTGTTTTGTTTGGCAATCTGCTTTGAAAAGGATGTTCCTTTTGTAAATAACCACTATAAGGACGTTCTCTGCTGCCACACCCAGACTGTGGAACGCCTTGCCAAAGGAGATCTATCAAATAACCAACTTGGGCAGCTTTAAAAAAGCTGTAAAGACGGATCTCTTCCGGCAAGCCTTCCCCGAATAGATCATTCCACCTTAACCTGTGCTCCTCCCTGCTATACGTTTCTCTATACGTCTATTGGTTTTCCAGATTGCACACTGTTTTAATCTTGTGCTTTTATTTTATTACTGTATTTATTCTTTTAAGGGGGGGTGTTAACTGTTATCATTGTTATTGCTGTTTAATATACTTTTAAACTGTATCTCATAATATGCTTTTAAACTGTATCTTATATTATGTAAGCCACCTTGATTGCCTTGGCAAAAAGAAGGATAATTTATTATTATTATTATTATTATTATTATTATTATTATTATTATTATTATTTTACTACTACTACTACTACTACATAAAACTGATTCCCTGTTTTATACACCATAAGTCTGGCCCAGTGAGGCTATGCCACTGTAATACTGTTTGGTACAAGGAAGATTGTAATGACTTGTTTCTACAAGTCTTAGTTCCCCACGAACTTTAGTGGTTACTGTAGTCTAAAGATATAATCAGAAAATACACTCATAATGAGTCAATGAAGTCTGTTCAGTATTCTATTCAAGTGAATGAGACTGCCCTGTAGAAAGTGAGCTGTCACAGCCCACAGTCACTATGGTAGCTCTAAAATTAAGCATAGAGCATTAAAGTAAATTGTAATTAACCTGACATTTGATCGCATCAGAAGCACTTTACAACTATGAGCAATAAAGTCATAGCTTGAGTTGGAAAATCACCATGTTGTTAAGTAAGTGGCCTAGCAACAAGGTATCATGCTTGGAAAAGTTATTAGGCTCACTGACCCTTTGGCAGAGTAGGAAAGTCTGGAAGCTGTTCTCCAAAAAGTAGCCTTTCCTAATCTCTACATGGAAGAGAGTGGTGTGGTAGGAAATTGCTTTGAAAGCTATCTTTGAGAAGGTTAGGCTACTTGTTCAGTTAGCACTCTGTGGTTTACTTTGGCAGGGAACAGCTCTCTACCATCTCAGACAAAGTTCTTCCACTTCATGTCACCCTTTTTGCTGGGAACTGCCACAAATTCAAGGTAGGACCATCAAGCTAAATCCCTCCACTGACTATTTGCACACTGAGAAATGTAGATCTTTTCTCAGTTTAGGACTGTCCTTATTCCCAAATCTCTTGATTGCACATCAGATGTGTGCAGCAGAAAGAATGGGAGGTATTTTTATTCAAAACTACAGTAAAATAAGACTTCATCCATAAATTCAGTCCTAGGGAAGAGTCCAAAGCAAAAATCCTATACACGTTTACATGCATGCGAGATACATTTTTTTAAAAAAGTGGGACATATTCATTGACTAATATCACTCACTTCCTTAAACACAGGGTAGACAATTCATTACAAGATTCACACCAATTTGAGAATTCATGGTCAAGCAATATCAAATTTAGGACTAACAAATGCTTGCACACTCTTGGTTGGCTACAAGAGACTGTCTGTGGATTTTCAAGTTTTTTAATGAACCAGCACAGCTTCCTATCCTTTTTTGTTATCTGTTTCAGTATCCTCAGAGCCACTTGGAACAGGTAAGTAGTAGTAACAGTAGCAGCCTGCTGCCAACACTGCTAATTCTTCCAGTCAGCTAAATGACAGTGAAGGCTTCCCATCACATTCCTGCAATATTATAGAAATCCTAGCTCTACTTTTCATCATCTATCTACAGTTCTGTGCAACCTACTACCTCATTCAATAATCAGGTCAAGCAGTCATTCCCTAGGAGATATTCAACTAAAAGCCCAATTAAATGTATTCATAACTCACATTTCACTGAATTCAACAGGACTTTCTACAACATGAGAATATTTTGGATTATTAATCAGAATGACTGGGAGGGCAGTCAAAAATAGAAATTAGGACATATTTAACAGACAAGTATGTGACCAAACTGGAAACCTAGTAAAAATAACTCAAATTGTAGTACTCCACCCTCCACCTGTTACTGCTACAGTCATGACCATAAACTCAGCCACTTACAAGACATAACCATGTTAGTCTGCAATGTCAGTGTGCAAAGTGATCTTGTAACATCTTTGAAACAAACTAACTGAGCAAAAGAAGTTGTAGTATAAACTTTCATAGACTTGGCATCTGAAGAAGTAGACCAAATTTAAATTTAAATTTCAGTTTGTAATTTAGCAAAACTACTTGTAAATAGATACCGATAATTTTATTGGGGTGGTGGTGAAGTGGGAGAATATACAGTTTTTCCATAATTAAAAAGCCCTAAAATAAAATATAAAATTCATTTCTAGAATCCTAAAAATAAATAAAAAATCAAGCATGGAAATATTATTTCTTACCAAGCTCTTTCATGTAGTCATCAAATTTCTCACTAGAAGCTAACTTCCAAGTTCCCAAAAACTGTTCACACATTGTGTAGGATCTGCTCTGTGAAACAAGTTCCTAAAAATCGCACAAAGAGAACACCCACTCTACTACTACAAAGCACAAGAATGACTTTTAAAAGAAGCTGTGACCATGTGACCTTGTAGAATTAACCAATACTAACTGAGTCTGACAAAGGCTCCAATTACCTGATTTCCCCCGCCTTTCTCTGTAGGTCATGGTGGAATTAGTCATCAGACACTCACAGCATTGAATTGTCAGCATTTCACTATTTTGCTTAAAGAGCCTGGGCAATTTCTGTTGTTACTTTTTTATGCTCTTTGTCTGGAAGGAAATTTCTTTGGTATTAAACCAGTCTCTCAAATAAGCAAGCTTATAGCATTGTACTCAGCATTGATTTAGCATTAGCAACAATGATCTTCAGTCCCCTTCACACCCATTCAAACCCTACAATGCACACAGAATCATTCATTGTGCAAGTCTGTGCATGTTTAGTGGGAACTAAATCCTCCTGTAGTCCATGAGATATGGCCCCATGTAAATATGCATAGGATTATAGCTGAAAGCAATTAGATTTCTCTTTTAATCTCTACACATGGAATGAAAGACAAACAAATAGACCTTTAATTACTCAAAACTGTGATTAGAGGTAAAAGAAGGTTGTACCCTTCACTTTTAATAATAGTGTAAAAGATGGGATTTCAGCATGTGTTGCTTGCATGACTATCGTTAACACCCACTAAAAATCCCCGTCTTCTGCAAAAGGTTTGGCTTTGACAGGCCATTAAAAGGCATTACTTTGGTGGGTTAACAGTATATAAAGACAAGACATTGTTATTGTGTGCCTTCAAGTCATTTCCAAATTATAATGATCCTAAGATGTCCCTACCATGGGGTTTTTCTTTTCAGAATTTGTTCAGAGGAGTTTTGCCATTGCCTTCCTCTGAGGCTGAGAGAGTGTGACTTGCCCAAGGTCACCCGGTAGGTTTCCATGACTGAGCGGGGATTTGATTCCCAGTCTCCAGAGTCTTAGTCCAATGCTCAAACCACTACACCACACTGACTCTTTAAAGAAAACACATAACATAGCCCAATCCTGAAAGTACACTGTCATTTTATAAACCCTCTTAAAATAATTCTAATATCACAGACAATGAAATAAAAATGTTATTTAAATTATATATTTGATTTGACTGTTCTTATTTAATTGTTTGTGATTTCTGATTATTTTAAATAGCATTTTAAAATATGTTTAATTATGTATTTAATGTCTGAAATGTTTTTATCCAATGTAATCACCTCTGGGTCCTAGTGGCTCAGGGGCAATAAACAAATGCCTTAAAGAAACAGTAATAAATTACTGAAGGAAAGCTTTGGCATTACAAGTTAAATATCCCTTATCTGGAAATCAAAAATACTCCAAAATTCAAAACTTTTTTCATGGGTGGTTGAGATAGTGACATCTTTGCTTTCTGATGGTTCAGCATACACAAACTTTGTTTTATGCACAAAATTATTTAGAATATTGTCTATAAAATTACTTTCAGGCTATGTGTATTAGGTGTATATGAAATATAAATGAATTTAATCTTTAGATTTGGGTTCCATCTCCAAGATATCTCATTATGTATATGCAAATATTCCAAAATCCAAAGCACTTCTGGTCCAAACATTTTGGATAAGAGAGCTCCAACGTGTGCAGCAATTTCATCAGATGCTACAACAGCTGACAATTAAGCAAAAAATTAATGGGTGTTTTCTCCCTTTTTCAGTACTTTTAGAAATTCATTTTCAACAAATGTACAAATGTGTCATCAGAATTAATTTAGAGTTAAGATGAAGAAAAAAATATTCTGGACATTGGCTAACCACAGATAACTGAAACCATGGAAAGTGAACCCATGGATAAGGGTGGACTCCTTCGGACACGACTTGACAACTATGGGCCTTTGAAGACTGCCAAAAATAGTGCAAATTGAATCCACTTTAAGGGTTAGGGTTAGTGCTAGGGAATCATGAGAATTGGTGTTGGTTTTTTTTTCTGAGACATTGAACCTTCTCTGTCAGAGAGCTCTGGTGCCACAATAAAATACAGTTCCCATGATTCCCTAACCCTAAAAGTGGACTCAATTTGCACTATTTCTGGCAGTCTGCAAAGGCCCTATGTCAATGGGGAATACCTTTACCTTTTTACTATATTACTAAGTCACCTTATTGCCAAACATCTTAGGGTGGAGTACAGTAATTCAAAACAATTTAAATGATATAAAACAATTCAGTGTAATAAAAATAACCATCAGTCTAATATTTGTCATGAAAAAGTCAAATATGGAGAAACTGTTCTTGGGAGTTTTCATACTATCATTTCAGCATTGCATTTATCTAAATTAGTTCACTAATGAGGAAACATCTGTAACCTGAAGACACTTATTTCTGCCTTCTGAAGGCACTTATTTATGATTTTAGGTTACCAAAGTCTGTGGATCTATTAAAGGCTATGGAGTTTCAGGACTGTACATTCTACATTCTCACTCAAAGAGAAGTTCCACCATAATAAGTATGGGATTTTTAATTGTACATATTATTGGAAGCTGTACTGTGTTATTCTAGTCATGTCTTCTCAGAAGTAAGGCGGCATGAGTTCAATAGGATTCCTAGGTAAGCATGTATAGAAATATAGCCCACCTTGTGTTTTATTGTAAAGTCTGATATTATTATGTATTCTTTTTTGCCATAGTCTTTGAAATTTCATAGAAAAAACACAGATAAGTACACCTGTTTTTAGCAAAGTCTTCAATAATATATCACATTAGAATACTCTGGACAGAGAGGACCATCTAATACAGGGCTGGAGGACCTTTTGGCCACCAGATGTTTTGGATTACAATGTCTGTGATCCCTTTCCATTGCCCATGCTGGACCTGCCTCCAGAACATCTAGAGCAGGGATAGGCAACCTTTTTGAGCTGGGGGCCGGGTTGCTGTCCCTCAGACAATTGGGGGGCCGAAGCAAAAATAAATAAATTTTTAATTTTTTTTTTTAAATATATGCATGCACACTCTCTCAGCCCCAGAAAAGCCATGATGGCAAAACCCCTGTGGAGATTTTGCCAAGAAAACCCTAAGAACAAGTAATAACAATAATCAATATCATCATGGCGGGCGGCTGTGGGCAGCAGGGGTTGTCGTCGGCGGCGGCAGGACCAGCCTGGGGCCGGTCCAAAGGCCTCGTTGGGCCGCATCCGGCCCCCGGGCCGCAGGTTGCCTACCCCTGATCTAGAGGGCTAGAGATTCCTTTTTTCTGTTCTCATGGCTAGTGAAAGCACCTCTTAGCTTCTGGAAGTACTTGAACAAATCTCCTGTATCTCAGCTGAGAACTGACAGAGCAGTCATGCTCATATTTACTCAGAACTGGGTTGCATTTACTACAATGTGGTCTATAGTTAGGTAACTGTGTATAGGATTGCAGCCTAAATTACGCATAGGACTTCCTTATCTCTCCCTGGTACTCCTTTCCAACTCAACTAATGTGTCAAACCATCTCATTTTATTATTGTTCCTTAAAATATGATTGTTTACATCTCCAGATTTGTTGCTATTGTATGACTTCACATAGATCTGATTTGTGGTGATCCTTGGCAAGATTTATTCTGTGGTTTGCCATTGCCTTCCTCTTAGGCTGAGAAAGTGTGGCTTCCTCAAGGTCACCCAGTGGGTTTCCTAGTCCAGCAATCAAACCACTATACACTCATCTCTTCACATTCGCTGGGGTTAGGGGAACAGGACCCCAGTGAATGTGGAAAAACTGCAAATAACAAAACCACTATGTTTTTACCTGAGAGAACACTTCTCTAGGAATCTCTAGGTCCTCCAGTGCAACTCTGTGATTATCATCTGCCAGATGTTGACCATAGAATTGCACTGGAGGAGCTACAAATGCCTAGTGCAGTGTTCTCTCTAGATCCTTCAGTGCAACTTTGGGTTAAAGTTGACCATAGAGTTGCACTGGAGGACCTAGAGATTCCTAAAAATAATATATTAATAATATTCATAAATAATCAAATCTTGCAAAAGTCAAGGCCGCAAATGTAGAGGAACAAGTGTACTACACTGGTTCTATTGCCTTTTAAGAATTGCAGGAGATGTGATTGCCGCTGTTGTTGCTTCTATCATTACCATCCAGTAGCAAAACAAAGTAACAGCAATTTGTTACAAGAAAAGTGATGCTAAGGCAGAATAAATAATATATCCAGGTATGATGGCACTTTCCCTGTTGTACTGCCAAGCAGACAATCCACAGCAGCATCTGTCTGCATATTATCTTGCTTGGTAAGATCCAGTTATTGAATTATTAACATTTATCTGTCCATAACTGAGGATTTCACTGGGTTCTGCTAATACTTTTCAATTCAGTGGCCAGGGTTTTGTGAACTCTTGTGTCTTGAACAGCTGGGTAAGAGATAAGACGTCAACAGGGCAACATGACAAACAGGTGTGGTGGTTGCTGTTGTTGTGTGCCTTTGAGTCATTTCTGAATTATAGTGACTCCCAGACCCTATGGACTTTTTGGGGCAAGATTTATTCAGAGGGGTTTTGCCATTGCCTTCCTTTGAGGCAATGACTTCTCCAAGGTCACCCAGTGGGTTTCCAGGGCCAAGTGAGGAATCAAAACCTAGATGCATCTATACTGTAGAAATAATGCAGTTTGACACCAATTGGCTTCATCCTACAGAATCTTGGGATTTGTGGTTTTGTGAGGCACTAGCACTCTTTGGCAGAGGAGGTTAGATCTTGTAAAACCTCATATCCCAGGATTCTATAGGATAGCACTACAGAACTTACATTGGCATCAAACTGCATTATTTCTAGTGTGGATGCACCACTGGTCTCCAGGATCCTTATTCCAACATCCAAACTACTACACCACTCTGGCTCTGTATGTGCCATAGTGTTTACAGCTGCTGTAACACATTTGTTACACGTTTGTATGCTGTCTTTAAGATTAAAAACAGCACATCTGTGTAATTGAATTAGGCAAAATATAGTATACAACTTGCTAAAGATGAGTAGAAGAAACCTAAGCTTGATGTGAAATAATATAACAATTAGAGGTATCGTATTCATGAACCTTTCTCTCATTTTTGAAAGGAAATGATCCATCTGAACTTTGTTCCTGCATCCCTCCTTCCTCCCATCAACCCCACCCTGCTTTTCTGGCTCTTTACTCTGACTCTTGTCATACTTTTTTCCCTTTTTTTGTTACAGGGGAAATGAAATTTCTGTTATACAGCTGCAATGTTACAGAGGGAAATTATCCTATTATTCTTCATGGCAAACAGCTCCTGTTAATGTGACTCTTGGGACAGAAAAGCTTGAACAGGAATGGGGTCTGTGCTGTTGTTTTTCCTGGCAGGACTCCTGTTTCAACTTCAGTTTATTCAGCAGATAAAGTTCTCCAGATCATGGAAGACAAGAGTTCACACAACCCTTGTGCATTGAAGAGACAAGGCTTCAATCATGTTGTTAATAATAATAATAATAATAATAATAATAATAATAATAATAATAATAATAATAATAGTAATAATAATATTTATTTATAACCCGCCCCTCTGAGTGGCAATCGGGGCGGGGAACAACAGTTTAAAAACAAAACAAAGTTAAAAATCAATCCCTCATCCCATAATCCCACCCTCCATCCCCTTAAAATAAAATTAAACAACAGCCAAAATTAAAAATGCCACATTAATTAAAAACAGATAAGAACATAAAATAAAATCAGGGCAACAGATTGAAGCACATCTCCCAGCTGAAAGTTATTCCGGGAAGGCCTGCCGGAAGAGATCCGTCTTTACTGCTTTCTTGAAGGCAGCAAGAGTAGTGATAAGACGGATCTCATCCGGCAGGCCATTCCAAAGTCTGGGAGCGGTTGCGGAGAAGGCCCTCTGGGAGGTCTGGGACAGCCTAATTCTAATCAGCTGTAACAGATTCCTCCCAGAGGACCGCAGGGCGCAGGGGGGATCATACGGGGAGAGGCGGTCCCTAAGATAAGATGGACCCAAGCC